GGGACATTTACCTGTTTATGCGCTTCTGTCGTTGCTGCCCTCTTGTAAGGCCGGAGCTCATCTGTGCCAAAACCTGGTACCCACATACCCCAACTATGTTCTGTAAAAAATAACAATTAACAGTATTTAATATGCTCTGCTTTATACAACATTATGGAACTCGGCTTTATTATTAAAACAAAGTTTAACTATAATTTTAATCATATTTATTTTTTTTACCAATCTGGCAATGAAAGTATAAGCTAGAGTTGTAATTTAGCAATATTTTCTACTTGCAAATTTTTGCAAATAAAATGTTTAACTGGCAATATGAGGCAATATGACTGGCATTTGATCGCATATCTTTTATTGTTATACACATTGACAATGTATTTTGAACACATGGTATGACAGATGATATTAAGCTGCATGTCTATTGAATGCCAAAAACATCCTAATCACTAGTAAGCACGGTTCTCTTCATGTAATGAAACAAAAACAATTCAACATGTTAATTTCTAAATGAAGAACAATTATTTAGTGATCAGGGCCTGTAAGAAAGTGACATACACATAACAGTATTTGAAACAGCAGTGGGTAATCTAAAATATTTTCAACCCCTAAAAAACATATACATGTTTCCTAAAACACAATGAAGAATATAACCAATAAAACAGACTATAACTATGATCAAAAATAAACTAAAATACATTGATCTGACACATTCACATGTGAACTTAAATACATTGATCACAAATGAGCTCAAATACATTGATCACAATTGAGCTCAAAAAAAATTGATCCAAATTTTTACAAAAAATTGGGGGGAACCCCTTAAAAATTTTCATTTTTGGAAAAAACATTTCAAAATTTGGGGGGAATTTTTAAAAAAATTTTTAAAAAACAAAATTTTTCCCTTGATCAAAATGGGGCTCAAAACATTGGGAAAAAAATGAAATCAAATATTTCTATCACAAAAAGACTCAAAATACATTGATTTACAAATGGGCTCAAATTCATTGATCACAAATGAGCTCAAATACAATGATTACAAATGAGCTCAAATATACTGATCACAAATGACTCAAATACATTGATCACAAATGGGCTCAAATACATTGATCACAAATTACTCAAATACATTGATCACAAATGGGCTCAAATACATTGATCACAAATGGGCTCAAATACATTCATCATAAATGAACTCAAGATACAATTATAAAGTTTAACAAAAACTTCAACATACCTAAATGTAATTGAACATCTTTGACATCTAAGGTATTTGATTTTCTATGTTTGGCAATTTTACAAGATGATGTCACCACACTTTCAATAAAATCATCTGCAATTTGCATAAGCACCTGAAATAAATAAAATTCAAAACCTATCAGACTTTCAATGCTACAAAGTAATAAGTTACTGTGTACTTGCATACATTTTCTATAGAAACAATAATTTGTCAATATCCCAAACCCTTCAATTTAGTTAATCATGGTTTGATTATAACCTTTTCTTCTGCAAGGTTTTAAGTCATGTCCCTGTATAAGTCATATAGGGACTGTATGCTTTACTGTCGGACACATGCTCTATAATGTACATTATTGCAGGTACATGAATAGAAGTTTTTACCTTATGTCCATCCACCTATCTAGACTACTTGGCCAATTCTTTTACGTTATTAACATTAAATATTTAACATTTAAAAGTCCTTTGCAGGACTTAAGAAAACAACACTAAGGATTCAAAATTAGTGAAATTAGAATTGTTTGGGAAAAAAAAAAATTACCTGACTAAGCTAAATATTTAGAGAGCATGGTGTAAGTTCAAAATGTCAGCGAATCTGACAAACATGAATATAGCATAATTTTAATTGGTTTTATAAAGTAGGAGTATCAAATACCTGGACTTGAGGCAAGTGCCTAAAAACTTGTTTCCCATGTTAGATTGCCAGGATAGAACATTAATTTTATTAAAAAAACAAAAATTAACAATACCTTCCCAATTTGGGGAATCAATTTTCAAACCAATTTGGAAAATTTTTTTTAAACAAATTAATGGACCCGCAAGGGCCCAGAAAGAATTTTAGCAGGGTTAAACGTTTAAAATTTTTTTTTTTAAAACAAAAAAAAAAAATTAAAACCCCAAAATTAAATGTCAAAAAGGGGAAAAAAGGCTTTTTTTGGAAATGTTTTTTTAAAAAGACATTTTTTTTTCCAATTTCCTATTCAATTTACCTTCCTTTCCACAATCTTCATCGAGCTGTTCTAGAGGAGCACCTTTTCTTTAAACAAGTTCCTGTAGTCTCCTCTTGTCCAGCACTTTACTCTCCTTGCTCACAGAGCTTGGTATGCCTACAGCTGACACAGTTGCCGGCTGTGTTGCTGACACTGCCGGGCGCAAACCCATCTGTTGCTGGGCTATGCCAACCTGCTGGGCTCCAACAATACCAGGACTGTTTGTTATTGCCTTTAAGATAACAAAATAACAGTTTTTAAGTATGAATGTATTACGAAAAACAGCAAAACAAATCAAAATGGCTGAAATGTTAGAGAAAGTTAACAATAAAAAAACTACCTGAATTAAAACAAAATTGTAAACCAAATAAATCAGTCGTAGAAATAATATTTTTTGTTTCATCGTTTATGTGTAAAATGCACACAATGCAAATTATATATAAAATGCTATTTATTGTTTGATATATATTTTGGGCCAGAGGTCTTTAATTATGAAATAAATAGTCGAGTTGAAAATTGAAAATTTTACAACTGAAAATTGGACAAGTGATCTTTTACTAATTTTAGATTTTAGGACAACTTAATTTTGCCAGATTTGTAAAATATCCTGGACAAATCTATCGAAAAGAAATTGCAGACTCATATGTAGTTACATATTTTGATTATATTATAATAGATACATGAAACATAATGATATCTAACTTTTCAAAACAAGAAACTGGTTGGTATAAATTTAAGACTGAAATGACACTTGCAACAAAACTTACATTAGCCGGTATTTGCTGTGAAATGATACCAGGTACAGGCGAGGATACTGCAGAAGCTGCCACAAATGTGTTAGGTGTTGATGCCATCACAGTGATTTATATGTTATAACTATTTACACCATTTTACACCATTTTCAAACCATTGTAATCTCCTGCAAAAATAAATTTGTAATATATTACTTTTTTTTGTTTGTTTTGATTGGGTTTTACATCACATCGATACAGTATAGGTCATATCACGACGTTGGAGGAAGACCTCAGGTGCCCTTCCATGCATTATTTCAGGCACGAACGGGCACCTGAGTAGAACCACCGACGTTCCGTAAGCAAGCTGGATAGCTTCCTCACATTAAAGAATCCAAAGTCACTGTAGGGATTCGAACCCACAGCGGTGAGGGGCAAGTGGTTTGAAGTCAACAACCTTAAGAACTCGGCCACAGACGCCCCAATATATTACTTTTTAATTTCATAATCCTTATAATAAGTTACAAAGAATATACAATCTGACTCTAAATAATATAACATGACACTAGTCAACCAATTAAATTAATAAACTTTGAAATTTTGCACCGATTATTGAGAAGCATGGCCAATTTTACTAATTTCACTATATTAGAGTAGTTCTAACGTTGAATAAGACCAGATCGGCCATATTCATTTTATTAAAAGTTATTACAAAAAATGACTTTTTTATTGCAATGACCCAAAAACATATCCACCAAAGAAAAAGTTTATAATAACAATTTGAAATAAATTACTGGTACGCTTTCAGAAAACTGTCCTTGAATACATTTTTGATTGAGATACATGTAAGTAATAGAATAAAGTCTTATGAATTTTTGAATAACTGAAAAAAAAAATCTTATTTTTACCATTTAAATCGATTAAAACTAGCAATGTTCAGTGTTGTCTATAAAATTTCTGTCCTTAAAATGACAGTTATAATAACACATAACTGTTTCAGTGTTTGTCAGTAGAAAAAACAGTTAGTTAAATGGGTCAAACCGCTCATGCTTAATTAATAGCGAGCTCGAATAGCTGACCCAAAGGGCCTGCTCCTAAGCAAGCTTTACGGTAACGCGTTTTGAAAACTTTCGTTGGAAGTACTGAATAGACACATCACAACTTTTCAAATAACAAGACATAAATAAAAGCCGAGGTATTCTGATTGAAAACAGATGCATAGACTGGTGTCCTGCACACTTTTATAGGCACCATAATAGGACAGGGAACCAGAATAAAGCTCGCTTTGAGGGCTTGCCTTTTTCATATTAATTTAGGCTGCAGATCATTACTTATAACTATGTCATAGTGATTATTCTAGTGCGGAATGACAGGCCGCCCTGCACCTTTTTAAGTCCGCCCTTTTGTCTCTAAAATACCACCCCATATACTTAATTAAATCAAATGCGCCCCTTTAATCCGGCTTTATCAATATGTATGAAATCAATATGTAAACATCACAATAAACTAACAATCACTTCTCTGTTAGGTAGGATTATGAAGTCAGCATGCTTCACTATACAAACCGGTGCCCCGCGGCGCTAACAATTGACTGAATGGTGTGAAGTGGTTTAAATCAAATAATGTTTGCTACAGTTTGAAATGATTTGTAAAACATTACCGACTGATTGATAATCCGTGGTCATTAATAAATGCCATGGCAATGATTTTTACAGTCAGTAACATACTACTTATTTCTTTATAAAATCATAACGGCCTGGTATTGCAAAAGTCAACTTAAAAAACTGAAGTAAAATTGGCTGTCATATTTATTGGGTCGAAAAAAATGTTTGACATATGTTTTCGCGATTCAAAAACAATAAATCAAACAATCCATTTTCTTAACACAGAAAAGAAGTTCAACAGTTTTTTCACTGCATAATAAAACAAAGTTCAATTAAATAAAGATACTCTATGGTACATATCATCACTAATTCAAAAGAAATATCGAAAAATACAAACTGTTTTCTTTTATATTTCCGAAAACGGTGTAACTGTAAATTTTACTTTTTGTGAAAATTACTTATCAGCTGGTGTGTAGTTGCTCTTGGAGGACTTGTGATGGAAATTTCTTCTTATGTTCCTTTGTTTGTACAAATCTGCCTATAGATCTTATATCTGGTGATTTTGTGCTTTCTTTTTTTCATAATGTGGCTGGTTCTTCAGAAATGATAGTCAATACAATTTACATCTGGGACCAGGGGACCTAAAATTTTAAGTCCCAGAATACATATAGGCCTAAATTATATTTTAATTTATAGAAAGAGACTAAGAACGAAAGTGTATTTTTTGATGATTTTATTGTTTTGTATTAACAAACTGGAACACATATATTTATATCACAAAAAAGAAATAATTATTATTAACTGACAGCAACTTGAAGCTCTGATGCCAGTGCACTCTGCAATTATCCTGCTACAATGACAATGTACTAAATTTTAAAGGGACTCCACTGCGGTTTCTTGACATCATGGGACTGAAAATATTTTTTCCAGATAAATGTACCATTTGATAAAGGTTTAGACCACTAATCTTTGTGCAAAATTTCAGATCAATCGCGCACTTCGTTTTTCCAGAATAATTATTCAAACTGTAAAAAAAAAGACCCATAATGAAAAGCGTTTAAACGCTTTTCACTAAAATCAGACTAAGAAAAGCATAAATTTCTCAATTTATTTCAAAGTATTTATTATAACCATACATGTGACATCCCAGCGGGATTTAAAAAAATCCCGATATTTCAACACTGATCCCGATTCCCGATATTACAACTTGAATTCCCGATATTTAAAAAAAATCAACATAAAAAAAAATCAAACACAGCACCTGTATCTAAAATGTAAACCGTGCCTCCGGGCATTGATTGTTATCTGTCCATATCCTAAATTATAGCGGATTAAATGTTGAGTCCCTAATTGACAGCAAGGTGACGTAATAAACAGTTCCAATACCCAAAGTTATTCTCACGTGTTTAACTTATCATGTGTCGTGTGTCAGTCAATTGACCTCTTTTTAGGTATTACACGCTACGTCATCAACACTACCCTGTAAATTTACATGTATGAATTCGGCTCAACCTTTGATTTTCTTTGATTAGTGCCGCACTGATAAAGATAAAAGGTGAGCAGAATCATTTAAACTTAAAGGGGATCATTCAAAACCTGTTTAAGATGTCTAATTAACCTATTTTTTGTTTTGTTTAGGAATTACACAATCATCGAGGCAAAAATGTGGATTTAATTAACGGAATGATTCTTGCATTTATTTTGAGTCTTCTACTTATGTTACGTTATTTAACTGTCATAGTCTTATGTTCATGAATAGTTGTTGCACATTTTCAAATAGCTTGTGTTTAATTATTGAAAGACTGAAAAGAAATATAATTCTTCAAACTGAAAATAATGAAATGTGAAAGTGTCACTGTTTTAGAAATAGCCTGTATGACTACACTTATTTATTTATCTATTTATTTATTTTTTTGGTGAAATAAATTAATATTGATCAACAAAAAAATCATAAAAAGTATAATCATTAAAGGATATTGAGGGTAATATAGATTCTTTGAACCAAATGTGCCAAACACGCATTGAAATTCAAGTCGATAAAAAAATCCAGTTTTGAGCCTCAAAATCCAGCTGAAAATCCAGATTTGGCCCATTTCATTTGTCACATGTATGTATAACTATATTTGCATAATTTTATATTTCTGTTTAAAGTGCCCCAGCTCGTTTATGTAAGAAATGCAAATGTTATGTTTTTTAGGCTTTTGAACCTCAGTTGAGTCCCTTTAAGTTTCCTCAGTCACATTAAAATCAAATCCTAACTGTCACTCCACTACCAAGGTAGCGAAGAGTAAAAGAGCGAAAACAATGATCAGATTTTAATGAGTTTGAAGTTTCCTGAAAAGCAGCCCTCTGTTATTTAGTAAAAGATGGTCAATGGTTAAGCAGAGACATTATATTGTATGTCTCTGGGCTATGTGATGAGATTTACAGACACTTCACTCCTAGCCATTTTTTTCAAAACCCTTGATTCACCTCTCTTTTTACAAAATTTGATATATATACACCAAACCCCTTTATATTTGTTCTTGTATAATTTTCTCAATTGTAGGCGAAAAATGTAAATGACAACTTACTTTAATCAATGTTGATTTAGCAATTCAAATATTGATTTATTAAGACATATTTTGACTATATCATAATAATGTCATTTGCTGACCAGCATGTCCATGCCAGGCATTGTACTCACAACTAATTGATATTGGTGACCAAGTGATCAGAATAAAATATAATTCTTTATCTGAAAGGAACAGAAAATGTTTTCCTGTCTCTAAGGCAGGATTACATGTATTTTAACTGATAAAATGTAACATTTGCGAATTATACTCCTGGATCTCTAGATTTTTATATAAGCATAAAGTTAAACTAACAGTCAAGCTGCTTGTTAAATATTACAAATCTAACAGTAAGGCTGTAAGAAGGTTTAAAACCAACTAATTATAGTCACTCTTATCAATCAGTACAGGACCAGATCTAAGTCAGGATGTATTTGTGTAGCCTGACCTCACTCTCACAGTACTGTTAACTGTTTAAAATGGACAGTTTAAATACAAAGCATGGTAAGTCCATACCTTAAATTGAAGAGATTTTTTTTTTGTAATTTCAGCAAAAACAAGTTTTGCCCGTTTATTGATCCCCGTCAAATTTGGAGAGTAGGGTCGGAGAACCATCCCTACTGCCCCTTACAAAATTTCTTTACATACAATTTTATATACTTTAACATGACTGGTATAAAAGTGTTATTTAGAATTTGTAGTACGTTCATGGGGTTTCTGTTTTTATAACATAGAAGAGAAATAACAAACAAATTTATACAGAAATAATCCTAAAGCAAACATTTTCCAAAGACTTTCTAAAACATAAAGTAAAATAAAAGTTTATCAAAATACTTCATTTTGAAGAAGATAACCATTTTTTTGTTTCAACATATCCTCTTGAGAGTTGCTTCCCTTTGACCTAATATTTTTTAGAATAAAAAATATTTTCAGCAAAAATTAAAGTAGTATTCTTTTTTTTTCAATGTCACAAAAATGTTTGAAACATAATTTATGTTAAAAGAAAGTTGTTACATTTACCCATCCAAATATATACCTACTGTTTTTTTTTCTTAAAATAAATAAAAAATCTCATACAACAATTAACTGAGTCTTTACAAAAGACTGAGATGGTCTCAAATAAATCTTATCATTCTGCTATCAGGTTCAATAGGAATGAAACATGTAATCTTTTTAGTTTTAACACATTTTTTTTCCTACTATTAAAAACAAATGAAAAGTGTGTATTTCAAAATTGGTGATGTCACTTTGACCACAGAATTATATCACATAAAAAAAAACTTTACTAAAAAAAAAATACCATGAATTACTTTCCTCAAGTAAATGTAAAAAATATCATGCAATATTTACCTGAAAATTTATAAGATATTGAGTAGGTCAAAAGAAATTTTAACTCTTTTGCAACTATGTGCATTAAGAATAGAACATTAAGAAAAGAATAGAACTGACATATAAATCAATGTACTTAGCTATAACTTTAACAATTTTTTTTTTTTATTATGATGAGCAACAATTGGTCAGTGTGTTTTTGTAAAATCATGACAGTCACTTTTAACTTGAATGTCTCTTTGATTTACAAGGAGTACAATCTATTCAATATTTAAATATTTAATTGTAAAGAGCAAAAATGTACTGTGTGATAGTCATTTAAACTAAACATTACTGTTTCTTAAACTGTATAAACATAATACACAAAACAAAGCAACAATTTGCTTAAAACTATGATATTCTACTGAAGGGAGGAAGGATCATGGTGGGAGAGAGGGGGAATTGAGGGGGGAGGAAAGAGGGGAAAAATAGGGAAAATATCAAATAAAAGGTTATTGGTGTAAACTACTTTGGCTTTCGTCTCTGCTGTTTAGTAAAAAACATATCTTTAAACAGTGTTTTGGGTTGGTGGAAGGCTCCATACATTGCAATATTACCAAATGTCCAGTCTAAATACATATGAGATGGCTAAGCAAAAGAAAATTAATGTTCTGAATTATATTGAAAGACTAAATTATCATACTTCTCCCATGTCTTTTCAAAAAGCTCATACTTTGAAGTTTGTTTTGCAGTATATTTTTCAATCTTATAGTTGACTACTATTTGATTCTTTAAAATTTTCTAGGTTAGGCCTTATTTTCTTAATCCTACTGTAATATATATGACTTTTTGCAATCAAAATTATTTTGTTTAACACAATATCAAGTTTTGTACTGCCAAATAAGATATCTGTTGCCAGCCAATTATGGGAAATCAATATTACATTTTCTCTTTAACATAATTTTGAACTTGTAACCAGAATTGTTTTATTATTGGGCAATCACAAAACAGGTGGAACAAAGTTTCTGATTCATTTTGACAAAATGTACAGATATCATCATCAGTAATATTCATTTTTTTAAGTAAATAGTTTGTTGCAAGGATTCGATGGTTGATTCTAAATTGTAACCATATGATTTTTTGATCTTTTGTATATCTATGAACCATATCATATATTGAATTATTTTGAAAAAAAAGAAAGGTCCGAAAAAGCCGTCAAATTATCTTTCCATTTTTGTAAAGAGTTTGAATACTGGTTTATATTTTGCATTGCTTTATAGATAGATCTACAACCTTTTTTATCTTTATTTAAAAGTATCAGGCTATGAGGAATGTGGATAAAATAGTTGAGCTTCTGGGGCAAATGTAAAATATTATTAACTTCTAGGTATTTTTAAGGCATTTACAATACCCCTATATTCTAAAAAATTACTTCTAATATTGTAGGTTGCAGTAAACTCATCATAAGAATAAAATTCACCATCTTGATTGAGGAGGTCTCCTAAAAACAAGATTCCTCTTGAAATCCATCTTTGTAAATACACACTTGAGTTACCAACTTTAATTCCTGGATTTTTCCAGATATGAACTGAAAAACATTGTTTGCTGTTTTCAGGTTTTAAGTTTACAGAAAGGGTAAAATAACTGTATAAAACATCTTTCCAGAATGGATTGATATCTTCATGAAGTTTTGACTTAATAAAGTCTGTACCAAATTTAAATATTTGACTTATGAAGGGACATGTACCATCAATAAAACTACTGAATTTACTATTTGAGTTGATCAGTCTTCGTAGCCATGTCACCTTTAGACTATTAATAAATATTTTCAAATCTATCATTTTGAGTCCTCCATACTTGTAGTCCTGTGTTATAACCTTTCTTTTAACTTTGTCATGAGATTCATTCCATAGAAATTTAAAGAATAAGTTTTGAATTATATTGATTTTTACTAAAGAAGGATTTGGAATACTTAAAATCAGATGATTTAGTTTTGCTAGAGCAAGGGATTTAATTACTACAATTTTACCTATAGGGGAAAGGACTCTTTTTGACCAATTTGCAAATAGCTTTTTAATTTCTTCAATTTTTAAATCATAGTTCAAGTCTACTATTTCTGAGAGATTATTAGAAAATTTGACCCCAAGAACAGTAAATACTTCATCATTCCATGCCAGATTATATTCTGGACAAATAATGGTATTACTATTTTTCCTTGATCCAATCCATATTGCCTTAGTTTTCTCTGTATTTATATTCAGGCCTGAAACACTAGCATAGAATTTTAATGTCAACATTATGTTCTGTAAAGACTTTTTTGTACCATCCAAAAACAAACTTGTGTCATCAGCATACTGTGATATTTTATATTCTTTACCCTGAATTAGTATACCTTTAATATTTTTGTTATTCCTAATTAGAATTGAAAGTATCTCAGCACATAAAATGAACAGGTAGGGTGACAGAGCATCGCCTTGACGGCATCCTCTATGAAGTAAGAACCAATCAGACATGTGTCCGTTCACAATGACACACGATTCTATATTTGTATAAAACAATTTTATCCATTTACGTATAGATGGACCAAAGTTAAAGAACTCTAAGACTTGGTGCATGAAATCCCATGACACAGTGTCGAAAGCAGCAGCAAAGTCAATAAGGAGAAGTAAACCAGGGATATTATTCTTCTCCGTATAAAATAAAATGTCATATAACATTCTAATATTAGATGCCATTAATCGGCCAGGTAAAAATCCTGTTTGGTCTTCATTAATAACATTTGCTAAAATATTTTTTAAACGAAATGCAACCGAGGCAGAAGCGATTTTATATGCCACATTCAAAAGTGAAATAGGCCTCCAATTTTTCAAATAAAGTTTATCTTTATTTCCCTTAGGTATGCAAGTTATGACCCCTTGTTTTTTTGTAACTGATAATTCTCCTTTTGCATAGGCATAATTTAATAGATCTTACCAAGAAAACCCCCTATGTCTTTCCAAAAAAACTTAAAGAATTCTACTGTAAAGCCATCATTTCCAGGGCTTGTATTATTTGACATTCTCTTTAGAGAGTTTAACATTTCATTGTATGTCAGAGTTCCCTCAATGGACTGCTTGATTGTTTCTGAGAGTTTTGGTATATCAAAATGATCCAAAGTATTATTTAGAGATTATAGTTTCTGTCTCTTTTAACTTATACAAGTTTTCGTAGTGATGTTTTGTCTCTAAAAGAATTTCATTTTGTGATTTTAAAATGTTGACCTTTATCTGAAATAAGTGAGTTCATAAGTTTAGAAACATAGTTTCTGTTTTCTAGATTACAGAAAACTGTGTGGGCTTTTCTCCTTCATGTAGCCATTTTGCTTTAGATCTAATAAAAATACCATTCATTTTTTTTTCTTAATTCTGAGAGTTCTCTTTTTTTATTTTCTAGATGTTGGAAATTTATGTTTGTATCTTTTTCAATCTTTTCAATTTCTTTCAAAATGTTTTTCTTTCCTTATTTGCCTCTAGTTTTTTCTTACTTGAAGCATGGCTTATTGTTTACACCTCTAATGTTTAATAAGAAGTTTCAAAAAAATAACTGATCATTTATATTGAAAAAAGCAAGTCTTGTGATGGAATATTATTCTACCTCATGTATATTGTCTGGTTGGTCAGCTATATACTGTAACTTTGTATCATTGATAATCTTTTTACCTTATCTATATAAACTTCATCCCTAAGTAAAAAATTATTTAAACTTCCAATATGACAAACCTTTTCTAAATTTACCAAATTCTAAAGATATGAATATACGAGAATGATCAGTTATGATATCCAGGTAAAATATAACAGTACTATCAATATCAGTATACAAATTGTTCGAAATAAGAAAGAAATCTAGGCGTGCCTTTTGATAGGATTTTTTCCTAAACCATGTATATTCTCTTTTTTCAATATTATTTCTCTCGCCAGCAATCCATCAAGTTATACTCTGACATTAAATTAATGACCTTGTCTCTGGCATTCGGATTATTTAAGTGTAGATAATTATAACTATCTTTGTCTGGATCAAGTACTAAGTTAAAATCCCCTGCCAAAATAAATAAAGAGTCCTCAAATTTGGACATTTTTTCAAAAACCTTTTCATAAAAATTTGGATTGTCTCTATTTGGTCCATAAATGTTTACAAGTGTAATATCTTTCTCACATATATCGCAATTCAAGATCAAAAGGTTACCATCATCATCCTTTTCCATGTTCTTTACTTTGCACTCAAAATTGTTATTTATAAAAATTGCAACCCCACGTGACTGGCTACTAAATTGAAGAGATTGTGCACCTGTCAATTTGAGGATGGGAAGTTAGTGACTGAGCTTTTACCTTTGGTCTGTACCCTCACTTCAAAGTTGATGCAGTGGAATTATTTTGGTTCCATGAAAACAGCCAGGGATGTGTCTAAATGGCAATGTTGGGGATTTTACCATCCAATTTCTAGGACAGGGATTAACTCCTTTAGTCTAAGTTCCAACAACTTGGCTTTGGTTATGATGGACAAGTTCATAAGAGTTTAGACATTCACATTGCTGTGGTGATACAACATACTGTAGTAGAGATATATATCACTGGATCTTAGAATGATATATTTCATTACATTTTATTTTATTATATGTTTCAGATAATGAATAGAACTGCCCCTGATCCAATATATACTCTTCGAGGCTCGGGAAGTGCCATCTCATGTTTAAAGGTATGCCATGACAGAACTAGAGCTTAGATTTATATTAATTTAGCAAGAATTATTGTGCTGGTGGTGACATTAGAATTTTTTATGGATATGCAGCCTGAACAGGACTCGAACCTGGGACCCTCAGAATACTTTCTGCGGCTCTGCATACTATGCTGTCTGGAGGCTTACACATCTTCTCCCCTAAATTGTGTGGAACAGTAACTGTTTTAAACTGTGGCAGGTTATTTTCATTCTATGCCTCAAATACTTTTTGATAAATACATTTATTATCCTAAACTAAAAACTTCTAAAAAAAAAAAAAAAATGTTGCTACTTTCCAATAAGCAATGGTGCTAAAAATGCTTTCACCTTATATCCTTAAATAGTATTTTGCCAGTGACAGATTGATTTTCAATATTTTCAATATACTTCTTTTGCAGCTTTATATTAAAAGTTTATTAGGTTGTGTTCCTATTTAATACTATTTAATATTTTTACAGTTTTGTGACACTGGGACGTTATATTCTGGCACCTATGATGGAATGGTGCATGTATGGTCAATTGAGACTAAAAGAATAATCAGCAAAGTATCTGCACATCCCGGTCATTCTATACTGTACCTTGACTTCATTGATGACTCAAACATGATCACACATGGCCGAGATGGTATGGTGAAACTTTGGACAAAGGCAGAAACAGACTGGATCTTGAATGGTAATATCTGTATACGGCAACTTCCCCTACCTGTGTAGGGCACCTTCCCCTACCTGTATAGGGCACCTTTCCCTACCTGTGTAGGGCACCTTCCCTACCTATGTAGGGCACCTTCGCCCTACCTGTGTAGGGCAACTTCCCCTACCTGTGTAGGGTAACTTTCCCTACTTGTGTAGGGCACCTTCCCCCCTTCCTGTGTAGGGCACCTTACCCTACCTGTGTAGGGCAACTTTCCATACTTGTGTAGGGCACCTTCCCCCTACCTGTGTAGGGCACCTTCCCCTACTTGTGACTAGGGCACCTTCCCCTATCTGTGTAGGGCAACTACCCCTACCTGTGAAAAAGGCCTGATGGCTAAGCTATAAAAGCAGTAAAAACAGTACTTTTTTAGATACGTAGCCGTCTGGTTGACGGCACAGGTTACTTTCATTGTGATTGATCATGAAATCTTTTCTACGGTCATTCGCACTGTACCTCTGCTCTGGTATGTACAGAAGTTTCAGTTCCTTGTGGAAGTGAAGGCAACTAAGTACTGGTAAACTGCTTGAAAGCCTGCCCAGGAAGGATGCGGTGGCTGAACTGTGCTGTGGTAAATTCAATGGGGCTAACTGCAGTAATCTGGAGTGAAAACTACCCCCACCAACACTACCACCACATTACATGTATTAGATAACAATTTGTGTTTGCTCAGATAGTGCATTTTTTTTGAAGTCCCTTTTGATTTACTGTTCTGATTTTTTTCTTGCTACTTTTGTTAAAATTTCTCCCTAAAAAGAGAAAAGGCAAGGATTATAAAATGTAGTCAGAAATAAAATAATTTTGACTTAATATTTCATTATTTATTTAGTTTATGTCAATTACAAGGGAAATCTTATTGCATAATTATACTAATATTTTAGCAAGTTAACACAATATGTATAATGTGTAGAATTCTGTTATCATTTGAATATTACATATATTCCAGTTTTTCCATGAAAATCTAGTTTAGTTTATGAAAAACTATTTATTAAACTAAAAAATGATTTAGGTTCAATAGAGCATGTTTAACCTTTACACCACAAAATATCTAAAATGGACTTGTCTGTCTTTCAATCTGGACTAAACCATTTATTATTTTAGAGAGAAAAAAACACTATTAATTGACTGATTAGCTAATATTGCAAACCATTATCAGATAGCAAAGATGTGCTGGTCGGTCTTGGTCAGCACTGGTCAAAAAGGTGCATGTAGAATCTGTTGTCAGCAGCTGGCTAAGGGTTCATAATAAATTTAAAGAAAATGCCTGCTCACTAGGAATATTAAAAAGTTGACTTCCATAATGAATGCATATATTTGCTTGGTTCCATACTTATTTGTTTGTTTATTTATCTGTTTTTTAAAATGATTTTAACACATTTTTGCTCATATCTCATGATCAATCCACGTTACAGGCTTTCCTGGATACTAACCATTAATTACCAACTTCTTGGCAAGTGACCGACTACTATTTCCACATGATTTCTGAATCAGCGATGAGAAACAAATTAACATTAAACTTAAAGCAGCATGACTCCAGATTCATGTTAATTTTCATGAATATTTTGGAAATGTTTATAAAAGTAAAATATTATGAGGTGAACAAATAAAGTATTTTATATATTGCAGTTGGCACTTACAATCCATGAAAATTACCAAAAAGTGAACAACATATGCAAAAACAGCTCTTACTGCGTTAGTAAAGCAGTAGAAATATGATGATACAGTACTGAAAAATCAGTCTTAAACTGCATGTAACATTTTAAATATAACTTGGATCTTGAATGTTTTTACCTTACATTTTTCTCATATTTATTTTCTTGAAATATTTTGGCTCATCAGGAGGCATGCAGCTTTAATGTCTGAGTAGAAACATGGTAGTATGAACAAGGATAGAACCAACAAACCCTGGATTACTAATCCGATGCACTCTCTATTAACCTAAGCAGGTGGACGGTTCTATACTTACATGTATGTAATTGAGTAATCATTGTTGTTGCTGGAATATTAAGATTGAATACTTGCAGGATCAATCAAGTGCTGTGATACTGGTTTCTGTGGAAGCTGTCTATTTGGCTGATAGAACCTTGGCTGTTCCAGGAATAAACCAGTCAGAAGTGGATATTTATGACCTTGACACTTTGAAAGTCTTTGCTCATCTTAAACCTGAAAGTTCAAAAGAAAAATTTGGTGAGTTAATGTGTTCTTTGTGGTTTTTATATTCAAAATTAGGAAAACTTTTAATTGATCTCAAGACACCCTTTTAAGTTAAATTCTACTGTGTTGAGGGTTTTGTGTAAGAATGGACGTATTGTCACCTTAGTGCAGAAACAGGTTAACTCCTTATATAATTTTAAAGGAGTTAACATGTTACTGCACTAAGGTGACAATGGACCTTTCCAGTGTTTACCGTTTTATGTAAATTGGCTAACTTCTGCACTGAGATAATACATAGTCAATTGTTGACCTGGTTTGTACAAAAGAACACATGGTTATGTTTGTGATACTGTTTGTGAGCAGTTGGCCTAGCAATGAGTGGGAAAAGTGTGGCTAAATGTTCCGCTATGAAAAACCGGATCCATATATTGGGCCTGTTAACCTAGTCATCAGTATCTTGAGAAGAAATAAACTAAGTACATGTATGTTAAATTTGGTAGGGACAATGCCTTTGGCTATTAGATGACCTCTTGGTCAAAGGTCAAGGTAAAAGTGATGCTTTATGTAAAAAATAATCATATTATGAAAACTAATATTTTGGTTTAGTATAAATTTCTCTCTCATGATAGTGTATGAATTTACATCTTCATTTACAAATGTACAATGCCTAAAAGACCTCATTCTAGCATGCTATGATTTATTCATAAAAGGCGCATAAGAATGATGTCATGTAAAGCACGTGACTATACTTACACCAAAAATGTTTGCAGTGTTGGGTTTAAGTCATATCAACACTTAAAGGGTCATACAGATATGTACCAGCATTTCTTCTTGAGGAAGACCATCTATGCATTATTTCAGACACAAGCAGGTAGCTGAGTAGAACCACTTATGTTCCATAAGGTAGCTGGATTGCTTCCTCAAATTGAAAGAACCCAAAGTCCTGGCATGATTTGAACCTTCAATCAGGGTCTTTCAAAAAGAATGGTCTGGAGACGGACACATTTTACGAAAAAAGCTGTCTCGGTTGGGTCACGTGATTGGGTTATCTACCGACCGTGATCTGGCTTAGCACATCACCATTAAAAAATCAAATTATAAGATAATGTTTTGTTAAATTAATCAAAAAATTACCAAAAACTAACTCTGACTACATTTATTACCAGTTTTTAGTGTAAAAGTAACAATTTTATAGATTTGCAATGAAATTAAGAATTTTTCATTCCAGGTGTCAAGGTAAAAATCTACCGCTCATACTTGAAAATAGGTCCGAGTTTCACGAGCTTTTTTAAATTTATTCATTGTTCAATGACAAAATAGAAATTGATTTTTAAGAGAAAAGATGTTATTCAATCGTATCATGTAGAAATATCATAAAATTTCACGATATTATTTGTAAATATTGGATGTTTAATTTCGTGCATTTTCAAAATGGCGCCGTTTATCGGCAAATATTGTGAAAAAGCAATCTATGTTTTTCAACAAATATAGTTTTAAAAAACATTATTTTCTGAAATATTTATCCTTTTTTCACAAGTTTAAAGATTTTTAAATAACATCATGTCGTTTAAATTTTCATTTTTGCTCTTGTATTTAATATTCGCCCTTTTCTTGAACACTTATATAATTTGCGTACAGCAAACTATACCGAGTTATACCGAGACATGTTTAATTGTAGCGAGAAGGGTTTACATAGCGTGTTTCCAGACCATTCTATTTGAAAGACCCTGCTTCAATTAATAGGGGCAACTAGTTTTCTCACACAGTTTTAAGCAGTAGAATTTCCTGTCTAAATATACAAGAATGATAATTGCTTTACCTTAACATCATAGTTGTTCTCTAAAATTTTGATTTTAATTGCATGAAGTTTGTTTCCATTTTTCAGGAATGTGTATGAAAATTAAAAGATGTGACCACAATGATAATCAGAATCTACTTACAGGATATGAAGATGGCAGTGTTGCATTATGGGATTTAAGACAAAACAAAATGGCCGAAAAGTTAAAAGTGCATCCAGATGCTTTAATGTGCATGGATTTTTCTAACGTCCTAAACAAAGGTTATTCTGGTTCTGTTGATGAAGATCTTCATTCATGGACTATATCTGAAGATAAAATAAATGCTAGTTTATCAGTTAAAACCACAAACCCAGGATTTAATGATGCATTAGTGAGGAAAGATGGTAAAATTGTGGTATTTGCTGGCTGGGATGGAAATATTAGAATATTTGGTGCCAAAAAATTGAAGCCTTTAGCAGTTCTTAATTATCATAAGGAAAGTGTTCACTGTTTAGCTTTCGCTGAGGACAATATCTTAGCTTGTGGTTCTAAAGATGAGTTAATTACGTTATGGGACATTTACAGATGATGATATATGAATAAAATGATGAGATTTATAAAAAATGTGGGAATTTTTGATGACCCTAGAAATAGCATTCTCTATGCAGTTGTAAACAATAAGACCAAAGAAGGTCTGTATGAATATGATCTGAGTTGTGACAAGACCTAAAAGGGAGCATGTTATATGAAATCTGTAGTGACAAGATTAAAGAGGAGCATGTTATATGAAATCTGTAGTGTCAGACTAGATCAAAGGGGGAACAGGTTATATGAAATTTGTAGTGACAAGACCAAGGAGGGAGCATGTTATATGAAATTTGTAGTGGCACATCCAAAGAGAGAAGGTTATATGAAAGTTGTAGTGACAAGATCAAAGAGGGAGCAGGTTATATGAAATTTTTAGAAACAAGATTAAATAAGGAACAGGTTATATGAAAATTGTAGTTACAAAATTAAATAAGGAGCAGGTTGTATGAAATTTGTAGTTACAAGATTAAATAAGGAACAGGTTATATGAAATTTGTGGTGGCAAGACAAAGGGGGAGCTGGTTATATAAAATATGTTGTGACAAGATAGAAGAGGGGCATGTTATATGTTATATGTAATATGTAGTGACAAGGCCAAAGAGGGAGCATGTTATATGAAATATGTAGTGACAAGATCAAAGAGGGAGCATGCTATATGAAATATGTAGTGACAAGATTAAAGAGGGAGCATGCTATATATATGAAATATGTAGTGACAAGACCAAAGAGGGAGCATGTTATATGAAATATGTAGTGACAATATCAAAGAGGGAGCATGCTATATGAAATATGTAGTGACAAGATCAAAGAGGGAGCATGCTATATGAAATATGTAGTGACAAGATCAAAGAGGGAGCATGTTATATGAAATTTATATTGACAAGACCAAAGAGAGAGCATGTTATATGAAATTTATAGTGACATTTTTTGAAGGCCAGAAGGAGCATATTATTGTATATGAAATCTGTTATGACAAGACCAAACAAAAGCATATGTTATGAAATTGACTGGGACAATACACCAGAAGTACATGGTTGTTTCATGAATTGCATGGTTAAAGACCACAGAAAGAATTTAGTTAATAAACCAGTATGAAATCTGGTGTACAGGCTTGATCTATACTAAGGCAACACATTTTAGCAGCTTGTGTTAGAAGAAATAAAAAGTAGCCAAATTGTAGTAGAATATACATGTACACATGCAGTGTTGAAATTACATATAGATTTTATGGACCGTTATTGAATGAATAATTTTCTTGACCAAATTTTGACAGTATAGATTAAATAATGAAGTAAAAAAACCTAGCAAAGGGAAATTTTTTTATCTGTTAATATATTAGGAGTTTTAATGAAGTAATTGTATTAAATTTGATTTAAAATCCAAGATCAAAATCATATTCTAAATTGATGAAGGTATAATTGCTAAATTACATTGTGTTGTTATAACAATATCAGCCCTTATTGAATGCTGAATAAATAAAGCCATTTGGCCTAAGCTCAATATATTTAACCTTTTCTATGCTTAATAGATTTTCTATGCTTAATAGATAGATCTTTTTTGTTTCTATGCTCAATAAATAGAGCCTTTGTGTATGCTCCATAGACAGAGTATTTTTGTCTTAGCACAAGAGAGAAAGCCTATTTGTTTGCATATCAGATAAAGCCTTTTTTAAATGCCCAAAAGAAAAAAACCTTTTTTGTCTCTCTTGCTTAATAGATAAGTATTTTTTTTACTGAGCTCGATTGAAGGATCCTTTTTGCCCATGATCAATAGATAGAGCCCTTTTGTATATGATCAAAAGATAGAGGTTTTTTTTTATCTAATGTATACTCAATAGATAAAGGCTTTTTGTCTATGCATAATAGATAGAGCCTTTTTGCATATGTTAGATAGACAGAACATGTTTGATTGTGCTCAATGGATAGAGCCTTTTTGCCATGCTGAATAGATAGAGCCTTTTTTTGCCCAATAATTTGTAGATAGAGTCTTTTTGTCTATGCTATGAGTTTTTCATTGTATTGTTCCAAAGTTGGGATTGTTTTACTCTTACCCAATTTGACACATTGGTTTAACAAAATTGAAATGTTGTCACTCCTCAGTACTGATTACAATTTGTAGAGGTATACAATCAAGAAAAACAACATCATCTACATGCTATATTTGACTTTCGAAAGTATTTTTTCCTAAGAGCCTGAGAAACATGTGAAGGGGAATAATAAAAATATGTACCATGAGTAAAATATAATCAAGTAAGCTCCCTTCCAATAGTTATTTGTGTTCATATTAAATTTTGTGTTCGTATATTTAGGAGCAAGTCGTGATGCTACATGTATGTTGCACCTGTAAACATTGACTAACAGTACATTGTATTTACAGCTTAAACTGACTACAGCTAACTGTTAGCTGTTTATGTTTAGTTGCTGCATATCTTACTATGTCCACGACTACGGTCATTTCTGTAACTATGACTTATACGACTACAAGTACAACTTTGACCACGAAGATGTGGACCGCTTCGACAACGAATAAGAATTTTAAGACATGACTGCACGACATTGACTATGACGACTTTTACGACTGCAAGACGGTATAAGACAACGTAGACATCCACGATTAGAAGTGCAGCTACAACGAACAGGTCGACCACTACTACTTATTAGTACTATGACATATGAGCCGCGTCACGACAAAACCAACATAATGGGTTTGCGACCAGCATGGATCCAGACCAGCCTGCGCATCCGCGCAGTCTGATCAGGATCCATGCTGTTCGCTATCAGTTTCTCTACTTGTAATAGGGTTTGTAAGCGAACAGCATGGATCCTGATCAGACTGCGCGGATGCGCAGGCTGGTCTGGGTCCATGCTGGTCGCAAACCCATTATGTTGGTTTTGTCGTGACGCGGCTCATATGGACTACGAGAATTGTTACGACTATGATTTTTACGACTTTATGAGGCTACTATGATAACAACTATGACTATGACATTGGCATTACAAGTACGGTTACAGCTTTAACGAGTTCTACGAATATGACTACGACAGGTACGATTTCACTCACAGATTATATGACTACGACTTACAAGGAGACTACGATTTCGTTGAATACAGATGCGACAACGTCTTCAACCATATTTGTAACGACGTAATGTTTTTACGACGACGTCGGCTACAACTACGGTGACAAAGACTACGACAGCGAGAAAACTTAGAATTTGTACCTTTTACCTCAAAGCTCATTGGCAAAAAATTGAGGTATAATGTTGACACTTTAAATACTAAGTCTCGATATGACCCCTACTTTTAGGAAAGAGATCTTATATAATAAATCCTTCATGTATTCTTAGAAAATTTATTCCGACCTTTTGTAATCATATTTTTATCACTCTACTCTTTGATATATTGCTTTCAAACACAACATAGTTATTGATGACCCTAACCTCGATTGAAGGACATTGTTACATTTTAAGAATTGTTTTTGTTCCACTATCAGCTATTGAGAAAGGTCGAGCGAACTGTCTTACGGACGGCTCTTGTTTGAGATAGTTTTCTATGCAATATGGTGCACATTTACAGCATGAAATGTAACCACAATGAACTAATTTAAAAACTGTGCTTTGAGTTATAAAACAGAAGGGTGCTGTTTTGAAGAAATGAGCCGTGTCACACAACAAAACCAACATAGTGCGTTTGCGACCAGCATGGATCCAGACCAGCCTGCGCATCCGCGCAGTCTGATCAGGATCCATGCTGTTCGCTTACCAACCCTTTTACATGTAGAGAAACTGATAGCGAACAGCATGGATCCTGATTAGACTGCGCGGATGCGCAGGCTTGTCTGGATCCATGCTGGTCGCAAACCCATTATGTTGGTTTTGTCGTGACACGGCTCAAATGTGGTTATGTCATTAACGAATCTTAACCACTTAAAAGATATCCAGAATCTGACATGTAATTTGTTCCTCATTATTATCTCAAATGCACCAATGCAAAATTGAGTAATTTTACACGGGTGAAAATTGATGTAGTTCCAAGTTTAATAAGCACATGTCATTGAATTAGCAAATCAAGAGAAATCAGAACGAATTGCTTTCTTTCAATAGATAACTTCTGTTTGATGCAAACTTTCATCGACTTTCCCATGCCCTTTCGCATTTTTGTAGTATGACATATGAATTTATCAAAGTGTATAATGTTCTAGTGCTCTTGTCTTGTATACCAGTTAATCATATTTTATCTTGATAAACCCTTCAATGATAGGTGTCATTTTCGTTTTAAGTATTTTCTATAGAATACCTTCTCCACTTGGTATAAATGACACACACCTCTTATGATCAAAGTGTGTTTTATGTTACTTAATCTGTGTAAAACTGCGTGTTACTCGGTCAGTAATCTTCATTAATACCTATGTTACTATATATAGTAACAAAATCTAGGGTATTTCAGGGCCATTATGGCAAGAATTAGGTCATAATGCAATTTCGGCCGCCTTGCTACTCGCCATTATTTTTCCATAATGGGCGAGTGAATGAGCGCACGTGCAAAATGACGTAATCAACTCTCAGTGACTTTCAAGATGGCTGCTGACGTTGAATTAGACTGGTCCCCTGCGCACTTCTAAAAATGGGCACCATAATAGGACAGTGAACCAGATTAACGTTGAATGAACTGTAGTCACTTGCACAAAAACCTTTCAGTTTAAATGACGTAGTCAGTCTCAATCAACAAAGCTTAACATTGAAGATTTATAAACTCAAGAAAAGAATAACTCTACCAAAGACAAAACATAACCCTCAGAATTTCCAAAAATGATTTCAGTTTGACTGTAGAAATAAGATCGGGAGCTAGACATCAGTCTCGGAGGCACACAAGTTAATAAAAACAGTCACTATATGTTATTCTCACAAAAAATATATAGCGTTTTTATCGATATAAACAACAATAAAACAACATTGTCTCATAACTATTTTGTTTGCTCATGTTTTCAAATGTAATAAGAGGATTTTAAAACTGAATGACATATTTTTGTTTACATTGACAACTGTCAGTTTCTTAGAAAGGGCGACAACCAAGATTAGCGGCGATGTCTAAATGCCCTGTTTCGGACATAGGTATTAAAGACGTTAATACTTGGTTGCTGCTCGGCATTATGCGATAATGGCCCTCGAGTCAATAATGTCCTTCGGGCCTGCGGCCCTCAGGCCATTATGCACATCTTCGGGCCAGTATCGCATAATGCCGAGCAGCAACCAAGTATTAACCTCTAAATAATATATCGGTATCGACGTATCGTGTGTACATGTCAGTGTAAGGGCTAGAAGTAAATCGGGCCGAGAACTTTTTTTAACATACCTCGTATTTTTATTAAAATAATGATGTATGATTTGTTGGAATGAATGCATTGTTTTGACGATATGCTGTATGCTTAAGTCTTAAATAAACTTATGTTCTGTTTTGTTCTATTCTGTTTATATTTGATTTATCTATTAACCCCTGATCTCTCACCAGCGTGAGTTATGTTTGTTTGTATTTAATTTCAGAACCATGTTGATTAAAGGTGAACTCAAAACGGATATATTTTTCATTGGCGTTTTAAATTTAGCTTTCATGTGTGAAGTAAATAATGGTTGTGTTGCTTACATGTAGCAATATTTCATTGCGACCTTAATAGAAACAATATCAACAACTCTATATATCATTGCATGAAAAAAATCTGCTTCAAAATATCAAAAACACTCCCTGCTGTCATCGAGATTGTATCAAAGTTTCTTGAAAATAATTAATGTAAGTAAACAACATTTTAATGGCTACTCAACAGTTTATGGAGTTTTGACAGCATTTTATCTTAAAATTGATCTTACAAAGTACTTGTACAGCTGAAATTGTAAGTATAAATGTAATTGATAAGAGACTGTTATATAACAAATTATGAAAATAGTATTAGACAAATATCAGAAGATATGTTGTATATTCATCGCGAAAAGATGCTTCTTTCGACAAATCACTTGCAGAAAAAAATTCTGTACCCCTCAGATTATTAACAATAAAACCGCCTTTCCCCACCTGTAAAGCTGGAGGTCATCACATGACATCTTACATAAAACTCATAAAAATTCTGAATTAAAAATTCAAGTTTTAATTCCAATTCGTGCTTGTGTTTTTTTACAGGAATCACACTTTGAATTATTTTCAACAGCAGTGTTTCAACGGCGTTTTCTTGTATGTGCTTTAAATGTTTATATTTGGGAATACAATCTTTTTAAAGTGGAGTTTTCTAACAAACTATTTCTAAATATCTTGCTATAATCAAATAGTTGATGTTTAATTGAAGTTGTTATGTTAACTTGACATTTTACCGTTCTTCTATGAAACTATGCTATCACATTACAAACAATGACTTGTTGTTGGGATACTATATTTAATAATTATGCAAATAAAACAAAATAAACTTAATTCGACAAATGTTTTGAAACAAGTAGGTTTTTCTTTTCTTTTCGATTT